TCGGAGCAAAACTTAAATATATATGTGAATTCTGTTGATACATACACTTTAAATTCATCATAGACTTCTCAAAATGCTGTACGAGATATGTTACAAAATGAATATTGATATTTAACCTCTCACACTTGACACACCATGCCATATCTCTTTCCATCAACTGGATGAAAGATAACTTTAACGTTGGTAGCAAAGAGTCTAAATTCAAAAATGGAAAGAGCAATTCTTGACTCCCCTCTCGGAAGACAGTCATTCACTGTTTAGAAATATTCTTTGTGAATTTCCTTGAGTAAGAAACACATGTCTATCACGTTTGAGCCACAACACATTTTTGAATTAATTTATTATAAAATGCAGAAAGAATTTTAAGGATGCTGTCATCTTCAATAAATAATTTAATAATTATCTTATGAATAATCTATTTATTTAAGATCTAGGTAAGCAAGGAGCTTATTTGTCTTATATTCCAAGTATTCTCAGTCAGTAAAACACTGTCCTGAATGTAGTAGGTGTGCAGTAAGTGTTTATTGAATAAATATCACTACTTTTTAAACTACTGGGGAGGCTGAATCAGGGGAATCGCTTGAACCCAGGAGGCGGAGATTGCAGTGAGCAGAGATCACACCACTGCATTCCAGGCTGGCGACAGAGCAAGACTCCGCCTCAAAATAAATAAATAAAATAAATAAATAAATAAGCAATAAAAATCACTGCAGAGGAAATGCATGATACTGCTAAAGCAAGGGGTCTAAAATAAAGAGGTAGCAGGGCGATAAAAAATTGGTATACACTTGACTAAACAAGAAGAACATTTGCCACTGCTTGAATGCTGGAGTGCAAGAGAAAGAGAATTCCCATGATTATTTGGAAGATTCTATTTGAAACGCTGAGTAGATGGTTGTGCGATTTGCAGAAAGGGTAAATTGGAAGAGGAACATCTTCGGGGGAAGATGATGAGTTTAGCTTTGTGCATAATCAGTTTGAGATAATAAAGAAGACCAATAGGCAACTAAAGAGAGATGTTGGGAAATCAAAAGAGTGGTTTGGACTTGAGAATATGAGGTAGGAAAAGGTAGTCTATAGATGAAACTTAAGCTATGGGAATGGAAACAGCATCTCTGAGTAAGCATCAATCCCTGAGAAATCTCCATTGTCCTCTCCATCAATTGACATTGTGGATCAGTGGTTAATACTAAAGGAGATGGGCTCAAGGGGTATACTTGCTCTGAAAATGCCATTCATTACTGGCAAGAAAGGAACCACTGCTAAGAAGCCTTGCATCCTATGTTCACTCATAGAATGATACTCTGAGGAAAGATGAATGCTATTAAAACAGTCACTTATCAATCCTGAAGGTTATTCTCCCAAATACACTGTGTATTTGTCACTAACAATTCCTTTCATACTCTAGCCCATTATTCATTTCAAGCTGTAACTATCTGGAAAAAATGGGATTTGCTGATTAATGCCCTAAACTGAAAATCATCTCTAGAAATAGGTGTATCTTCATAACTCCAAAACTCAGCACAACCACGAAGGAGTATTTTTCACTATGATGCTGTCCATCTCAGAGCTGACTGAGCTATGAAGCAAAAAAAGAAGAAGAAAAAGCGAATGTATAAGAAAAAGTCATCTCTACTGGGAACCCAGCCTTGCAAAGATTTATTACAGAATAAAGTAATTAAGTGATTCTCTTTCTTTCACCCAGTCATAGGGTACATACCTCCAGCATGAAAACTTAGATAAATGAGTAAAGTTACTCAGAAGAACATGTTTAGAGATTAGGAATGTTTAAAGGTCAGGGATCAGAGAATTCGTACAACTCACAGAACCTTTTGCTCTTCTTTTGGGAAAAGGCAGTTAATAGAAATGTCTCCTTGATCCCTGAATCACAGATACTTGTGAAAATCAATAATATTTCCCCCCAAGTCTTGAAAATATTCAGAAAATGTCAATAAATATTTGCTAAGATGTCTGTGATATGCCAGGCTCTATGCTTGCCACTGAGGCTAAAATAATAAACAAAGACTAAGCTGGGTGTGCTGGGTGCACTGGCTCATGCCTGTAATCCCAGCACATTGGGAGGCTGAGGTAGGTGGATACCCTGAGGTCAGAAGTTGGAGACCAGCCTGGCCAACATGGTAAACCCCATCTCCACAAAAAATACAAAAATTAGCCTGTCATGGTGACAGGCACCTGTTATTCCAGCTACTGTGGAGGCTGAGGCTGAAGAATTGTTTGAACCCAGGAGGTGGAGGTTGCAGTGAGCCGAGATTGCACCGCTGCACTCTATTAACAAGAACAAAACTCTCCCCCTCCCCCCAAAAAAAAGAAGTTCCCAGAGTCCTCATGGAGTTATATGTATGATTTAGGATAGAAAAATTTACACAAATAACCATCTTAAAATAAAAAATAGAACCTCTTCCAATCTATGATAGATGTTATGATCAGGAGGTAAGTGGCATTATTTATGCCATATATTGATGTCTTGAATGCACAGCCACCATTAATATCACAGCTCCCTCTTAGCTTTGTGGTATTGGGCAAGTTATCTCTGAAAAGTGGCACTAAGTTATACTAATTATAGTAATTTAGTAAGGCTGTTGTGGAGAATAAATGAGAAGATACTAAGGGCTGACACACAGTAAAGACCTCCTAGAAAGCTAGCTGTTATTAGAAAAGCAAATAATCGGAATAATGCAAGCCAGTCAGTTTCAATACATGCTTCCATGGGGCAGTGACATCTGGCTGCATCATAAAAAGTTAGGCATGGATTGAAGAGAAGAGCATTCTGATAAGAGGAAATAGAGTGAGATGGGGAAAGTGCAGACATGGAAATGAGGAAAGAGTCTGCATCAAGGGCTTAGCACTCCACTCTACAATGCTAATGCACTCCACGAGGAGGCTGGAGAGGTAAGAAGGACATGGAGAATAACCTTTTTTGGTCATGTTAAAGGCCAACACAGGAAAGCTATTGTTTTGTTTTAAATAGAGGTATGACTTATATGCCCCCAAAATTGTCTGGCTCCAACAGTGATGACTCCAAAATATTTTTGTGAGAAGAGCTTATGGATGATTGTCTGGTTGAGGAAGGGGAGATTCAAGAGAAGTAAAGAAATTGTTTTGAACTGCGTGTTTTTGTTTTGTTTTGTTTTAGATTCTACTATTTGATCTAGATATATGTTTACTAGGTTGATTGAAAACACATTGTGTTTAGCTACTTTTCGGCTTCAGGGGATCAAGTCAGGTTAGGTAGTAAAAAAGACTCCTAGATTGAGCTACTCTTTTAAATCCTTCCTTTCAGTGACCTCACAGACATCACTGCTGATTGCCTGTTGCTGTCCAATATAAATTATCCAAGGTTCTTAGCAGGGGCGCTAATTGACTCTAACAGCTTCACTGAAGGTGAGGATACTCATGAGCTGCCCTAATCGTCACATAAATTATATAGACTGGAGAGACTTTTACAGTCTTGATTTGATTATTTATAGGTTTCGTACTTTATATGGAGTTAAAGAAAAATTATATGGGTTACAATTTGTATTCCCTGGACTTTTATCCTTTATTCTGTATCATGATTCTATGTCTCTACAAATGAAGGTATCAATAAAATTATTATACATGCAGGAAAAATGTATTGCTTGCTCATTCATTGGCAAGAATTGGGTTTAGCCCTTTGTAAACGCATTTCATTCTTTCAAGGACTCTATGTGGATGGTGTTTTTAATTCCTTTTTACATATAAGGAATTTGGGCCTCAAAAAGGTTAAGATAATTTCCAAATGATCACTGAGTTTATGACAGACCTATCTTGACCTCAAACTCGTTCCCTTGAATACTGAGCATACTGCCAAACGATACTCAAAATGTAATTCCCTGTGTATTATTCCGAGACAATGTCTGAGACTGGGCAATTTACAAAAGAATGAGGTTTAGTGGACTTACAGTTCCACATGGTTGGGGAGGCCTTACAATCATAATAGAAGACAAGAAGGAGCAAGTCACGTTTTACATGCATGATAACAGGCAAAGAGAGAGAGCTTGTGTAGGGAAATTCCCATTTTTAATACCATCAGATTTCATGAGACTTATTCATCATTATAAGAACAGCGTGGGAAAGACCCGTCCCTGTGACTCACTTATCTCCCACAGGGTCCCTGCCACAACACATGGTAATTATGGGAGCTACAAGATGAGATTTGGGTGGGGATACAGAGCCAAACAATATCACCCTCAAAATGTGTTTTCTCAATTAAACCATCTGATTACAAATGAGAATAGCTGTAACCTTAATCACTTATCTCAAATAAACACTTCCTGTCAGTGGCATACACCTCCTCTGTAGAAGAAAATAACAAACATTCCCATTTACTGTATTTGGTGTCAACCTATAATGATTCTTTTCTCCACAATTTATGACTGACAAATTCAAGAAGGATAGGAATCCTATTAAGTTCTATTTTAGTTTGCTAAAGAACTTGGAAAAAGTGCACAAACCTAAAAAATTCAGGAAATTCATTGGCCTTTGTTCCTGGCACCCAATCCTTTGCTAGCACCTATGCCAGAAATTTTAGAAATCGACATGAGTTAACAAATTAGAAGACATCCTGAGGCATCTAGAAGACATTAAATAATGCTTTATTATTTAACACTATATACACAGGGAAAAGATAACCTAAGCATAATTAATAGCCAGTGTTTTGCTCTGAAGGGTGCAAAGCGATGACATGCCATCACACTATCTTGACTCCACAAATCTCCATTCCTCAGACGTTAAGTCATATCTTGTTGCACCCTGCCCATGTGGACTTGAAATGCTATCAGTGCTTTTATGAACACCTTTTTTTTTGTGGAAGCCTGATGTCTAGCAATGGAGTATCTGCCATGGATTTTCTCTATTATTTTCCCAGAAAGGAAGTTTTGTTTATTATGTTGAGTAGTTGTCATAGACCTGGGCCTGAACAACTAGATGAGAACATTACAAAGAAGCAATGCTATTTAAAATTCTGTGTGGGGACTCCATTTTACTCCCATTACAGCAGACTCTCGGTGCTAAAAGCACCAAAGTAGGCTGTACATGTCTCTACAGGATTGCAAATGAACTAAACCAAAAGGAAGGGAAAGGGAGGGACTTTCTCAGTTACATTACAATTATCATGACTTTCATTATTATTGATGAATTATCCTTTGTTGGTATGGAGAGAGAACGAATAAGAAGCAAGTAATGTGAGAGAATGCAAGATTTATTGTAAATCAGGTTTGAAAAATCACTTATTAATAAATGAAAGATTTATTATTAATCAGGTTTGAAAAAATCATTTTATTATGATTATTTTTTTAATCTCACAAGAATGTCTTCTCCCTTAGAAGAAGCTCTGGGAAGTCTCTGAAGTGCTCCAGAGTCCCATCTTCACTCTGTGGAGGGAGAAAAGTGTTATTGGAATGGGCCAGCTCAGATACAAGAGCCTGCATCTGGGCTTATAGGAGGCCTAGAAATACAAAGGGATAGGCTACAGAGAATGGCCTGTAGACTAGCCCCATGCAAGTAGACTATATTACACAAAAGAAAAGGCAGAGGAGATGACTTCCAAAGAGAATCCATATATAATTTCATGCAAATATAATTATTTAGTGCATATTTAATTCTATGTACACACTCAATTTATTCTTTGACAATTCCATCATCTTTGTATATTCTGAAAAGTACTTAATAGGGAGATGGGGTAAGAGCAGGGTGGTAGGTAAAAAAGAGCTTTTACCTTCTCTTCCAATAAATACATGGGCTTCTTAGGCTCAAGAGGGAGCGATGTTGTACATTGCTCCCCAGGACCATTCCAAGGATTCAGGATAAAAACATCTAGACTCTTTAAAAGAACTACAGTAATGATCTACCACCTACATAGAACTAGAGATGAGCTGTAGTCAGCAGAGGGTACTGACAGAATAGGTACAAGGGACACAGAAAAGTAAAGAGAAGAGACACAAGCTAGAACCATGCATAAAGGAATAGGGTCTGAGTCTGAAATGATAGGAACCCTATTATCGACTGACAAGACAAGTGAAGAAAATCATAATTGAATTGAAGATACAGGCACTATGTGGACATTAGGTTGAATCATTCCACCTTACCTTTGTGCAAACCCATCTTTGCGGCAAGTTGAGGGTCTTCTTCACAGAGATGTTTGATAAATTTGAGGCAAGACTTGGGTCCTTTTCTGATAACAAGGTCAATCAAGACTCGAGCCTTATCCATGACAGTGTCATTTTCATCTCTCACTTTGTTCATGTCTTCCTGGCTAATAATTTCATCCTCTAATAGGCAATCCAGCAAGGCATTTATTGTGCCTGCACCCACTGAATGGATAAAAATTATTCTCTTTTTATGCAAGAGTTGGTCTGTTGGAAGCACAAAGATTCCTCAAATAATGAACACGACACAATTTCCCTCTCAATTTACCAACAGGGAAACAATCATTTAAACATTTCTCTCCATAAGTACAGTAATCCCAAGGAATGGTCTTATACCTTTGCATTTACTCCATGTACTTCCTTCTGATTCTAGCATTACCTACATATGCTCACTGAGTGACCTGGGAAACTTGATTTCATGATTTTTCTGTTAATCTCCTAAAAATCAGAAGTCATTCTGTTCTGACACATCCCAATTTCTTGAATTTTGAAGGGAATTGACAGTTTCATGAATTTTGAAGGGAATGGACTGTTTCCTTTGAGAACAACAGCTGCTGATACCCATCCTGTGCCCATTCTCATCCTGAACTACGTAACTCTTCAAATGCAGACAACACTAGCAAAATTATAGCAGATGCCAGTAGGATCCCAGATTCTTCCTGGCCTTTATCTGTTCCTTCAAAAATGCTGTGCAAGTCTGGGCATCTTCCCACCCTGCCTCTCCCTTCTTCTTTCCCTCTCCACCTCAAGGCTGCTCACACAAACATTCACAAAGCCTAGTGAGAAAGGCAGTCCTTTCCCAAACTAATTCCTCCCTAAGACCTATCCTCTCCTGGGGAAGACTTACCAGCCATGGCTCCTCACGTTGGCACTTGCAATGTGTGTTACAGTTGCAATGACAGGCAAGGTAGCTCTATCCTTTTAGGCAGGGCGTGTACACAGATCAATGAATAATACTCACACCTACACATGTGTATTTATAATTATTTCCCAAGAAGCCGTTAACTATTGTCATTTCCCAGGGTATTTTTACATAATTGAATCTCAGATTGTAGCATGAACTGTGCCCATAAGAAAATTGCTTCACCATTCCTTGGTGGGTGAGAAATAAGAATCAGAGAGAAACGAGAAGGCACATACAGAGCTAAACACATACAGTAAACAATCTTTAATTCACTGAGATGTAAACAGAAAGTAAAATCAGAATATAGGGTAGTTTTTCCACCTAAATCAAGTACTAAGAGTTCTTTTTTTAAATTATGGCAAAATACACATAATATAAAATTTACCATCTTAGCCATTTTACAGTACCCAGTTCAGTGGCATTAAGTACATTCACATTGCTGTGTAGCCATCAATACCATCCAACTGCAATTCTTTTCATTTTGGGAAATTGAAATTCTATACTCATTAAACTGTAACTCTATATTCTTTCTTTCCATCAGCCCCTGGCAACTACCATTCTACTTTCTGTCTTTATGAATTTGACTTCTCTAGGTATCTCATGTAAGTAGAATTATACGGTATTCATTTTTTGATGCCTGACTTATTTCACTTAGCGTAATGTCCTCAATGTTTATTCATGTTGTGGCATGGGTCACAATTTCCTTTCTTTTCGAAGTTGAATAATACTCCATTCTATGTATGTACCACATTTTAGTTTACACATTCTTCACTGAGCACAGATTTCTTCCCCCTTTTTGCTATTGTAAATAACACTGCTATGAACATGGTGTACAAATATGTTTTTGAGATTCTGCTGTCAATTATTTGGAATATATACCCAGAAGTGGAATTGACAAATCGTAGAGTAATTCTATTTCATTTTGTTTTGTGAAATCGGTATGCTGTTTTCCATAGCAGTTGCAGTATATTACATTCCCACATATAAAGCACAAGCATTCCAACTTGTCCATGTCCTTGCCAATACATATTATCTTTCTATTCTTTTGATTATAGCCATCCTAATGGGTGTGAGATGGACTAAGATTTCTTACCTTCCTTTCATTGTTTTTCACCTAAGCTCTAGGCTGTCTACAGACACAGAAATGGTGTATGAAGCAGTTTTGCTATTTGGAATGAAAGTGTTTTATTATCTAAGGCCCTTTATCTTCAGATGGCACCATTTTAAGTAACACTGTATCACAAAGATTAAGGGCACAGACTCTGAAGCCAGAATGGTTGGATCCACATTTTAACTTCTGATCTCAGGAAAGAAAATTAACCAAGCCTTAGTCTTCCTATCTGCCAAATAGGTTTGATGAAAATTCCTACCTTGCAGTTTTATTGTGAGTATTTAATGAACAAATATAAGTTATCAAAATAGCCCCTGGCATAAAGGAAGCACCTCAATTATTATATATGTCTATGTAAAATCCCTTATTCATCTCATCAATTCATTCAACATAAATAGTCAGCCTAGTTATTTACTGAGACCCAAGTCTATGTGCCATACATTATTATAGATGCTGGGGATATAGTAATGATCAAAAACAAACAAAAATTTCCACCCTATTAGAAATTGTATTATAGTAGGAGAGAGACACATATACTCATTAAATGTATACAAAATATTTTAAGAGTTCTTTAAGGAAAAAAATTCTCAGAAGATTTGAGGAATCACGTCTTCACTAAAATACTTGTATTAGTTTATATATGTGACATAATTTGATAAATATTTAAAATCTGGGCAAGGTGCTACAGTTTAAGTGCCCATGAGCCCAAGAATACATCCAATGAGGTAAATTGGAGAGGGGAAGTTGTGCCTACCTGGTAAGGGGCAGGGCTCCTCAGACCCAACTAGTTTTGGCTAAGAGAATGAAAATTCAGTTTACTCTTTCATTTTGAGGGTACTGTATCTCTAATTTTAAAAATACTTTCAGTTGGTTTACTGTTGTTTTAAAACACTGTGAAAATTAAACAAAGCTTGACTGTGGTTCACATTTCACCTGCAGTCTGCCGATTTACTTTCTTCTTTCTTGGCAAATAATTGCATTTATTTTCTTGGGAATAGACATTTCTATCTTGGTAGTATATAGTCAAACATTGTGGAGATTTTAATCTTTGACTTCTTTGACTTTTTTTTCCTTTTTCTCCCTACTTTTCCAATTTAGCTTATAGCAAGCTCTTGCTTTAGGGAATATTTATGGCAAGATAGAAATTAGAGATGGTCTGAATGACACTGGGATCTGGAACAAGACGAAGACAAGGCACAAAAAGAATGAAACATCACTGTGGAAATCACAGAGAGAAGAATATTATCCTGGTTCTCCACCAGCCAGGAAAGCACACCAGTCTATGGAAGTACAGGAGATGGTGCCTGACAATAGCTGATGGCCAACTGATACCTCTAGAAAGCAAAACTGTAAGCATGAGAATTCCCAAACTCACATATGCTTCCCAGATCTCCTGAAGTTAAGCAGAAAACTCTTAGATATGCCACTCTACTGCTGACTTCAAAATGAAAGTGCCCACGATTATAATGTTTGAATGGAAAAGGCAGGATTTCATTTTCCTATTTTTCTGGGAAACACTCAAGTATATGAAAGTCTGGTAAGACTACAAGAAGAGAATAGAGACCTCATAATGACTAAAAGTGGAATTATCTACTACCCTATTTGTAAAGGCACTTATTTCAGAACATAATTTGAATTGAGATATAATTACCATAAAATAAATAAATCACATGATAAGCAACAGGTAGTGTTTTAAACGATGAGTGATGACTTGAAAATTTAGATCTAGACTTATTTCAGATTTCTGATTTCTGGAATTGTATTTGCTGCAGACAATTCAGATTTATCATTATGAAAAGAGTATTTGTTACTTTTTGGGACTAGGGAGTAGTTATGACATGAAAGCATAAGTTGTCTAGTTGCCACCTTTACTTATGTCATTTATAACTCTTTGAAGATACTCAATTTACCATCTTTCATTTGTCTGTTCTTGGGTATAAACATTCTGGAACATATCTAGTGAATATACATTAGTGGAAGCACAAATCAAATGTAAGATTTTTTTTTTTTTCAGAAGCTTTCTCCTCTTCCCAGATTTGGAGTCAAATCACCCATTGAAGTATACTTTGTTAGTTGTTTGAGATGCTGAATGACTTAGTTAAACTATCTAAGCCTCAGTTTCCCCATTCACACACTTCCCTCATCTATATCATTACTGTTTCTAGATTTATCATGACTATTTAAGATAACAGATATAAAATCGTATATGTAATATCTGAAAGTGGCTGCTCTTACATTAGCAATAGTCTTGAAGGAAGAAGGTATCCTGGTACCTTATATTTCTTTATAAAATGCTTACAGATTTCTTTATAGTAGACAAGATGAAATATATGTCCGTTTTATGAAAAATACTAATTACCACTGGTTCAGAGATGCACCTAGCACAAGGGGCCTCTCGCTCAATCCTAGGCTTCATGTGATATGCTACGTGTTCCTCATCCTAGCACTGTGGTTGATTATATGAAAAAAATCAGCTGGTAAAATAGGACTCAGTGCCCGCCTTTGAGGAATTTAAAATAATTTGGCACTGATAAGGCATAAGCACAGGAAAATATTGTATGACAATACAGAAGAAAATGGACTAAGATGGTATGAGGTATCAGAAATGGGAGAATTAAACATAATCTGAGGCAATCAGGAAGATTTTACACAGGTAACACAAAATGTTCCCAGAATCTGTAGGATAAAAACATTTAAATAAGCACTGAAAGAGGTTGCTAATTTGCTGATAGCTTGCCCTGTTCTAGGTGATAGAGTAGGTTGTTTAACTAGCCAGACAACACTAGAAAAACAGCATTTGCATTCTAGCTTTGCAGATGAGCAAATTAATGCTTCCAGAAGATGAACCTCTTACTCAAGATAATGAAGTCAGGAGATGTGAAAAATGTGATTTGATTACTTAAGTTGAAAGACCATAACGGTGTATCTGTACAAAGTAGAGCTGAGAGACCTGGACAATTCAGACACTGAGAATAATAGGAACAAAATCAAGAGGAGCAAATCATGGGAATGAAGGAAAGGACATAAAGGCTTTTTATTTATTTATTTTAGATTCAGGGGGTGCATGTTCTTGTTTGTTACATGAGTATTACATGCATAATTGTGGAGCTTGAGCTTCTAATGAATCACCCAAATATTAAACGTTGTACCTAACAGGTAATTTTTCATTCCTCCCACCCTTTCTCATGTTAGAATCCCCAGAATCTATTTTCTCCATCTTTATGTCCATGTATCCCCATTGTTTAGCTCCCAACCTCTATAGAAAACTCAAATAACTGAAAATAGAACTCTATAGATACCCCAAAGAACTAAAAATAGAACCATCATTTCACCCAGCAATTTCACTACTGGGTATCTACCCAAAAGAAATGAAATCATTATATTAGAAAGACACTTGCACATATATGTTTATCCCTGCACTACTTACAATAGCAACCTAAGTACCCACCAACAGCTGACTGAATAAAGAAAATGTGATATATATATATACACACACACACACATATATACATATATGAATACTAAATACTATACAACCATTAAAAAAGCATAAAGTCCAGTTCTTTGCAGTAACATCGATGGAGCTTGAGGTCATTATCTTATTATCTTCAGTGAAGTAACTCAGATATAGAAAATCAAATACCACGTGTTCTCACTTATAAATGGGACCTAAACAATGGGTACCATCGACATGCAGAGGGGAGTAATAGACAGTGGAGACTCCAAGAGGTGAGAGAATGGGTGGAGGATGAGGTTTGAAAAAATACTTATTGGATACAATTTCACTATTCAGGTGCTGGGTGCACTAAAACCCCAACTTCACCACATTGCAGTATATTCA